TGTTGAACACATTTAATCCCATCAGGGAACCATGATGGAATTCTTTATTCCCCTAAAAAAATGTATGTTCACGCTGTAGGCAGCAGGGGTCTCTGCAGCTGACCCACAGCTCAGTCAGCCTATGGTCTTTGAGCCAGACGACTCTTCCCCTCCTCCTGTTCGACCAGCTTGAAGTGGGTGTAAGACAGGATACCTGCCAGAGTGCAGAGGATTCCCAGCGCCTGAGTGTGAGATGCAAGGTAGAGAAAAGAGGGCTGTCACTGTGGGGGGGAGCCAAAAGGTTGGTTTGAATCATCAGAGCAGCACAGCAAGACTCACTTGGTTCACTGACAGCGGGTCATGGAAGAGCAGGTATCCTCCAATCAGAGTGATGCAGAATTTAAAATGACCAAACATGTTGTAGCTGTGAACTAGACTCAGGAAAACAACAGCAAATACAAAACATCTAAACTTATTAAATCTAATTCCTGAAATAATCTCAGACATTATTTCAAAAACTGAAGGGTCATGAAGACCTCCAAAAACTATCAAATAAACGAGAAACCTCTACAAGAATATCAAAGAGAATGGAAAGAAAAAGAGAATGAAAACCTGCAAACACCCCTGAAACACCTTTCAGACACACAGAGGCCTCTTTAGGCCCCTGTGTATGAGGATACGTGACAGCTGAGGTGTTTCCAATGATCCAGTAGATGGACAGGTTGACCAGGAACGCCACCACACCTGAAAACAGCACTGTCATCTGGGAAACATGAGGACAATACTGTGACTCCCCCAGCAACATGACAATGTACAGCTTCAGGAAAAGCCCGGAGCCAGCTACATCGATACATGTGTGAGCAGATAATGGGGATTACAGATCAGCGAGGACTGAGATAAGAACTTAGGAAGGACTTTACACATGCAAACATAGTGATGGATTTACGAACAGCTGCTGCTTCTACAGAGCTGGTGCATTTGTGTCAAGTGAGTTTTAACTGAGAGTTGTGTGTGTGTCATGCTGAGTCTGACCAGAGCAGGCAGAGACCAGGGTCCAAATATTCCTCCGTCTCCGGTCAGCGGCTCAAACACAGGAACAATACAGAGCAGGAAGCCCGATGACAGAGGAGCCTGACGGGATAATGGTCCTGTCACTTTCATATTAATACAACATGCATTACAGTCACAGTATTATTATTTAGGGATGTGTTGAGCTGATCTGCAGCTCATCTGTATGAATGAATGAACCCGTTTGGTTTGGTTTGTACTGACAAATCTGCAGCCTTTCATACATTTTCCCCATCTGTGTGAATCAGCTAGTCCCAAATCTAGTCCCACAACAACACCAGCAAGACCCAAGTCAAGCTCCTTATTTTAGAAAGAACAGATATCAATATCTGATTAAAGTGTTGCTACACTGATATTAGATTAGTAAATTATAAAGCGATAGTGCTGCTGTTACTGTTTATTTTATCAGTCTGCTGTTGAGTCATACCTGGTAGTACAGAAGCTGCATGGAGTTCACCTGGAGCTCATGTTGTTTCGCGCCCACCCACTGAGACAGAGAGAGAGAGATTTAGTTGTTCCTGTCAATTTCACAAAACCACTCTGTCTTTTCAGTGCTGGAGATGTTTTTACTCACCACTTGGTAAAGCGATGTCACCAGAACACCCAGCGAGGCAAACACTGTCCCCAGCAGGTTGAATCGCACATCATAGTAGGAGTTCAGTATCACGCCTAAGGTTATGGGCACCTGGAGAGAACAGTGTGGTTCAGCTCGCCACAGTGTCAGGAAAGCTGAAGCTCGCAAGAGCATTGTTATAGTTCAGTGTAAGTACAGCCTCACAAAGCAGCTGGCATGGCTGTGAACTAATGCTGCGTTCTTGTCATACAACATGCTGGTAGGAAAGGGAAAGTGATTTTCGCTAAAGTCAGAGTTTTGCAGTCTTAACAACTTTGATAGTGACATGATTTTATTTATTATTTACAAGTCACATAATCACAATAACTCCTAAAGTACATGAATGCAGCGCTCGTCTTGTTTTCCATCACAAGCCTGCCTTCCAACAGAAGCCATATCAACAAATCAGCTTGCTTGACCCTGGGGAAGCTACTCTGAAAGATTTGCAAGTGGCCAGTTACTTAACACTGGACAAAGTTAAATGCCAGCAAAGCTATTCTAGGCGAAAATCTACACTGTATGGACGAAAGTATTGGGATGCCTGGCCAATACTCCAACAGGGACGTTAATGACAATTGCATTCAAATACATAGACTTTAATGTGGAGTAGGTCTCCCCCCCCTTGCAGTTATAGCAGCTTCCACACTTCCTGGAAGGATTTCCACAAGATTTTGGAGTGATTCTGTCGGAATTTGTGCCCATTCATTCTGTGGAGTATTTATGAGGTCATGCACCGATGTTGGATGAGAAGGCCTGGATCGCAATCTATGCTCCAGTTCATCCCAGAGGTGTTTGACGGGATTGAGGTGAGGTCAGAGCTCTGTGCGGGCCAGTCAAATTCTTCCACACTGAACACATCCAACCATGTCTTTATTCATGCTGGAATAGAAAAGGGCCTCCAAACTGTTTCCACAAAGTTGGAAGCATACCATTATCCAGAATGTCTTGGTATGCTGAAGCATTAAGACTGGCCTTCACTGGAAGTAGGAGGCCGAGCCCACACCCTGAAAAAAGCCTCATACCACTATCCCTTCTCCACCATTGGCACAATGCAGTCAGGGAGGTAACGTTCTCCTGGCAACCGCCAAACCCAGGCTCACCCATCCGACTACCAAACAGAGATTCGTCGCTTCACAGAACATGTTTCCACTGTCCAGTGGTCCAGTGCCGATGTGCTATATACCACTCCATCCGATGTTTGGCACTGGACTTGATGATGGGAGGCTTGCATGTGGCTGCTCGGCCATGGAACCCATTCCATGAAGCTCCAGCCACACAGTTTTTGTGCTTACATTATTGCTACTGGAAGTTTGGAACAATTCAGCTATGGAATCAGCAAAGCATTGGCAACTTCTACACACCTTCGCAACCACTGACCCTCCTCTGTGACTTCACGTGGTCTTCTGCTTTGTGGCTGAGTTGCTGTTGTTCCTAAACGCTTCCACTTTCCGTGGAATATCCAGCAGGGATAAAATTTCACAAACCGTCTCATTGCAAAGGCAGCATCCTATCACAGTACCATGCTTGAAGTCACCGAGCTCTTCAGAACGACCCACTTTGTTTCACAAATGTTTGTATGTAGAGACTGTGTGGCTAGGTGCTTGATTCTATACACCTGGCAATGGGTCTGACTGAAACACCTGAATTCAGTAATTAAGAGGAGTGTCGCAATACTTTTGTCCATATAGTGTAGCTTGGTTTACTAAAGTATTCAGAAAAAGTAGCTCCAAATACTTTGGGGAAAAATCAAATTGACAATGTACATGTGATACAAAATTATAACAAAATACAATACTAAAGGTCACATCCCAGCAAGAAATGCCACTCAGTTGTTACCTGACACCTGAACCTGTCCTAAATCAAACTGCCCCCTCTGGGCTTTTCAGGAGGACAAAACTGCAGGGAATATAGTATTTATGTTGTAAACAAATCTGGAATTTGTATTATCTGACAACAACCAAAAGTTGAACTTGCACTTTTTTAGACCATCTGTACTGGTACTGGTCTAAAAAGATGGGCCTGTTGTCTTGCCCCTTTTCAGACAGCATGAACAACAGGAACACTGCTCTACACAACAGGCCCCTCATTTTACTTGTCAGAACAGAATCTCATATGACACATGAGCAGTGTCTCAAAGTTCTGATCCAACAGATGGCTCTGTGTGCACTGAAAATGTCTTTGCCAACACTGAAAAGCCACTCACATGCTGCATGGTCAAATAAAAAGATTTTTAGAAAATAATGTCTTTCCTTTCATAACCCAAAATTGTTTGGAGTTTCAGTAGCTAACTACACAAAAATGGCAAAAAAGTGATTTAACTACTTGAATCACTACGCAAATATGAATGTGGCTGAACTACCAGCAAGTTACTGCACAATGTACTGTAACTAAACTACTGGTTCAGTTACATGTAGTTCACTACTCCCCAGCCTCTTCAATTATCCATAACACTCTTCTCTATCTTTTTACCAAAAGACCTGACCAAACCTAAGAGCTACACCTGAACCAGGAATGTATTTGTGCCTTTTGTCAGTATTCCTGACCCTTTACTGAAGCAGAAGCTTATGAAGATAATAACAACACTGGCTTCCTCTTTTCACTAGACGCTGCACATCTACTCACAATGCACGACACTCTTGCGTGCTTTCTGCAACAAAACGGCCCCATGTCTGTGGTTGCAGCTTGAACCAGAGTACAGTAACAAGGAGATGATGTAAGCTTTCCTTACCAGTGTCAGTTTAATCTTGGTGGAGAAGGTCTTCTTGTAGTAGGTGCTCTGGATGAGGATGATGACTGGTGTAGTCATGGCTTTAGCCAGCTGGTACGTTCCTATTGAGTTGTTCTGCAGGGAAAGGTTGGTGAAGGCCACAAACCCACAGAAGCTCAGAGCCAGCCACACAATCCTGCGAATTGGAAGGCTTTTTGGAGAGAAAACATCCATTTTCTGGCATATGTACAGCCCCAGCCAGGTGACCACAAAGTGAACAAGGGTTAAGGTCATGTTGGGGAAGCCATAGTGCACATAGATCCACTTGTTGATAAAGACAATGCAAATAGAGGACAGCAGGTTGGCCAGCAGGCCGGCCACAATTCGCTTGTTGGCTGAGAAGCTAAACAGTCGGTCAGCCATGGTTCTGGAAGTTTCCTAGCTTGGTGTGCAACAGCCGAGCTTTGTGTACTAGCTGAGGTAGCTGTTCACACTGCTGCAAAACACAGAGAGTGAAGGTTAGACAGTCTGAAACTCCAGCCATATTAAAGATGAGCCTCATCAGAGAATCACTGTAATACTCCAACGGGTGAAAGCTTCCATTTGATTTTGTTTAAGCAGCTTTACAAAAACCTTGCTTTGTTGTGTTTGTAGAGTCCTGCTCATGAAGTACAACTGCTTCCAGGGTAAAATCAGCAACTTGGAAACACAGAATTAGAGCATGACCCTTACTGGAAATTTGATATTGATAACATATGAAGAGTTTGCAAAACCTTGTCCACACTTGTCTTATTTTTATAGAGTAACACTAAGTACATCGGTACAAGTAAAAGTCCTGCATCCAAATCTTACTTATGTATAGGTACTGTCAAAACAGTGTAGTTAAGGTACTCATTATGCAGCAGAACTACCTAATTCAGTGTTCTATTATTAAAATGTTATTTATAATCTATTATTACTGTGTAAGCAGCAGGTTCATGTTACAGCTGATGGAGCTAAAGCTAATATTAACTACTTTATATACTCTGGCAATGGTGCAATGTAACTAACTACATTTATTCAAGTATTGAGTCCAAGTACAAATTTCAAATATTTGCACTTCTATTTTGTGACATGCTGCTTTATTCTTCTTTTCATTACATTTCTGGTTGAAATATTACACTTTGTCTACAGCTTTAGTTAAAAGGTACTTTGCAAATTCTGATTTTACATGCTACATGACTAGTTTATAAAATATGCACTTTGTTGGAGACTGAAGTACATAATCAGCATATAAAGTAGTTTTTATTATATTTATTTCCATCAACTGTAACACACAAACACTACAATATAATAATATGACCCTGAAATGGGCAATTTTACTGTATTTTACTTTTAAAAGTTCATTTATAATTTACTGACAATACTTGAGTTATGTGTAAAACTTGCAAAATTAGTGAAGAAAATACAATAATCTCCTGTAAATTGCAGTTTAAAGTAGCCTAGCATAATGTAAGATATACCTAAAAATTGTACTTAAATGCAGTGCTCGAGTAACTAAACTTAATCTTTCCATTGTTGGTTTTTTTTTAGTAATCTGTTAAATGACCTCTTAACAGCACAAGTATGAGAACAGTTTGTGGTTTTGAACTGTTGACTGAAAATAACGTTTTTTTAATAAAGTTCAGAGTGATGTTCTGAACACTGGCGTGAAGCAGCTGTCGATAATACTGAACTGTTAAAACTAACATAAATAAAGGGTTCAGCGATGTGTTTTGCTTCGCTGTCTGTCTCTGTCTCTAAGTAAAGTTTACCTGGGGTCTTCATCTGTCTCCCTGCTTCTCCCCGCTGTAGCCTGACCCGCTTGTCTCACTCCAGGAGAACAAACACCCGTGTGTAATCGGGCTGTGCATGCACCTCAGGCGAGAATCGGAACTCTAATCCCGGCCTCTGGAGTGAAGAATCACCGCTACTCCACTGGAGGAATTTCTTCCCTGTTCTCCTGCTAAATACAGCGGTAGTTTCTGGTTCAAAACCGCCCCGTGTTCCTGTTTTCTGTGTGTGTTATACAACAGCGGCTGCTACCGGGCTGGAGGGTAGAGATCGTCTAGTAACAGATGACTCACTCCATATAAATCCAGACAGGGAAGAAATATGAAACACCAGATAATAGAACGACAACATCACGGTTATGATAGTTAACACTTAATATATATTACTATTACGATGATGATTAGGCTATTACATTTTAACTTAAGTATAGACCGATGAAGTGCGCGCATGCTTTGCAGTTTGTGTACAGTTTGTGTACGTGGTTTATTTGTAGTCCGTTTTCTTCTGAAGAAGAATTTCTACTCTTTGGTCAGGTCTGTGCTGGGCTTCATGCATAGTTCAGATCTCACTCGTCAGGATAGTGCCAGCTCATTTCTGGGCTAAAGTTACCTGTGGCCTACTACTTAACTTGTAATTGCAAGGAAACCGTTCAGGCGTTAATGATAGGTTGGTAGCCTATTTAATAAGTGAACATTAAATTCTCACTCACTAAAACTACCTCCAGATGCCTTCTTCTAAGTTTTTTCAGCATACTATGACCGAGAATCTGCACAGATAAATTCTCACTCGGTCATGGAGCAGAGGGTCGCAACAGTTTAGTAATTTATTTAAGTGAACAAGGAATTAAGATTAGGAAAATAATTAAATTAATAATTATGGTATAAGGCTCCAGTATCGTCGGTGGCGGTAATGAACCTTAACGCTGGGTTACCACCCAATATTGCAGAAGAGGAAAAAGAAGAAGAAGAACAGGAAGACAGGAAGAGAGGAAACTAAAAAAAAAAAAACACACAAGAAGAAGAATTTTGTTAAACCTCGTGAAGCGGGAATTGACAGCTCACTACCATGGACTGGTAAAATTATATAACTTTATTTTTAAACTTTACACAGCTTTTACATCTGCACGTGCTTATATTTGTATGTCAACTACGTTTCTGGTCGTTGGCTTGTTATTTGGCCGCCTAGCTATCGTCAGGATACTGTATTGTGCTAGCTGAGTTAGTGATGCTAATGCTGCCATCTATAATCAATGCTGATGCTAATCGTCTAAATACTGGTTTATGTACTGTTGAAATGTTTAAGTAGAGCTGCTAATGACGTCGTTCAAACGCAGAAATTTAAGATAAATAACAGTAGGTGCTAATTACTGACAAAAGGTGAAATTAAGTGGTATAGCAACTGAACAAACTGGTAACTGTTTGGTGTTGTTAGCTAGCAGAATTGCAGGGCAGTAACTAAATGTCCCTGTGTATTCTTACACTCACAATTGTGTGTTATACTGTTACTATTTTATATTCTGTCATTAGATTATTACTCATTAATGGTTTAGCAGCTTTTTACTGTTAGATATGGTTGTGGAGTTCGTTTTAGCTATTTTACATAGCACTACAAGTAACAGTTATTTGCATAATGGATTATTCTGCACATTATTTTTAATACATTGTTTGGTTTGTAAAAATTCAGAGAGTAACTTTAGTGGGAAATGCGCTTTATCACAATTACTCAGGCCACCAAACCAAAGAAACTCAAAATTCGGATTAAAAATTGGTTATTAAAAGTGATTAAAAGAAAGCACGAAGTGAAGCTGAAACCGTGGAAAGTTTTGCATTAAAGTGACTTGTATAGTTATCAAAATAGATGTAAATTTTCTGTCAGTAGACTTATTTCTTAATGAGTTCAGTGCTACTGTTGAATTCTATAACAAAGCACCTTACTTTATTGCTGAGTTTTATATATAGAAAACATATTTAAAAAGAAAAAACTTACAGAAGTATGTCACCTTTGTGTTTGTCTGTTTTCATGTCACTGATAACAGGCATGTATTCATTTTGTCCTCCAGGGGCCAGACTGAGCTGCCATCTCCGGTGGTTCGAGATGACGAGGTGACGATAGCTGCCCGCAGGAGGAAGAAGGTGGCCTGTATCCTCCAGCTGTGTGTGTTGCTGTGTGAGGTGTGCTCTGGGCAAGTTTGAAAGCAGACATTGTAAAAACTTTGGAATAAAATCAGTGGCAGAGGATAACAGAGGCAGACTAAGAGTTCTTCTTCAGCTGAGGTGTGCGTACTGGTGTATTGTTGCATGTTATGACATACAACGGAGATCCCCCAGCCAAGAATCCAGCTGCCGTTGTTGCAATTATGTAGTGTACTTGATTATTAGTCTTTATTAATAATGTCAGAACTGTCAGTATTGTTATTTACCTGACTGTTGTCAGTCCCATCACCTGGTGGCGGCAGTCCTGTTTCCATGGTAACACCAGCTCGCTCCCTGCCGAGGGCCACTCCTGCGTCACTGTTCAGGCAAGGAGGTAGGAGATGTACACAGATCCAGATTCAGACAGTGACGCTTCACATGAGCTCACACTAAGCCTAGTCTTGTATTTAACTGCTAAAAGTAAAATTTTAGACTTTAGTGAAAAACAAAGGTAAAAATTCTTCACTTTATTCTACTCACAAACTTGATCCTCAATGACTGAAGCACAGAAACAGAACCAAGCACACCAACATTTTCTGGCTAATAATAAAATTATAGATGCACCGACTGCAATTTCCTTGGCCAATTTGTGAGTTCCGTTTTTTTTTTTTAAGTCAGACCTGCTGATTCAGATTTTCCTTCTTTCTAAGAACAATAATAGACAACATACACAGACATTTTTGTGACTTTTCTATAATGAAAAGTTAAATTGTAATAAAAATAAAACATATTAAAGTTTCTGTCTTTCTTTAATTGTACTTCTACAAATATGAACAGGTGCAACAGGTAATAGAAACAGAAGAATGTCTGTTACTACTGGTAAATGGTCTTATACTTGTACAGTGCTATGCATTGCAGCGCACTCAAAGCACTTTCACACAATTTGACCATTCACCCATTCACACTCCCAAACACTCATACATTTACGCACCGGTGTCATCACCAGGAGCAACTTGGGGGCGTTCAGTGTCTTGCTCAAGGACATTTTGACATGTGGACTGGACAAACTGGGAACCAAAACACTAGTCTTCCGGTTAGGAGATGACCTCCTGAGCCACAGCCGTGTGTGAACCTTGCTCGAGGTGCACATGAGATGCTACACACTACACTTTTGGTCTTTGCCACTGCATGTGTGACGTGAACCATCGTGCCTGTAAAATTGACCGGCACAAAATCAGACATTTCAGTGTGAGCAGTTGGTCGTCGGTCAAGGCGGAGGGCTGGCGGTTTGATCCCCGGCTTCTCTGGTCCACTTGTCAAAGTGTCCGACATCGAAACCCCCGGTTACTCCCGGTGATATCACCAGTGTGTGAGTGCTTGTGTGTGTGTGTGTGTGAGAAAGGGAAATAGTGTAAAGGCTTTTGAGTGCACTTCAATGCGTAGAAAGCTGCCATATAAGACCATTTACCAGCTCTAAATGAAACATTAGTAGAACAGTAATATTGCTCACATGACAACAGCCATTTACTTGTAGATTGATAATATCCAAGTTCCCACTCTCACTTTGTCTCTTGCTCTTCCTCAGTAACTCCCAGGGTTCCGGATGTTTCCTCAATTCTGCCTCCAGGAGGCCGAACCCCTCGATACATGCACACACCCAGAAATATACCCAGCAGTATGGTGAGACATGCACACCTGCTCTTTGGGTCTCACAAAAGAACATTCTCTTATCTTAAACCTCTCTTACTGTCTTTAAAGACAGTAAAGCTGGCTGTCAGAAAGCGAATTAACAGACCCTCAGTACAGCTGGCAAGCCAATACAATAATATAGTGAACAGAATATTCATTTTAACAGGTTTGTTTTGTTTATTTTGGATGATTTATATAACATATTAAAATCCAAATGCATTAAGAAATTTGGATTATTTTTGTACATGACTCATACAACAGGTTTGAACCACTCATAATTACATTTGTACCCAAGTGAAAATTCTGAACAATTCTGTTTGTATGAGTGGTTCTTGCATGAGACCCGCTCTTACACACACACAAAAAAATCCTGATTAACATGAGTCCATTATTTACTCTAAGCTGTGTATGTGTGTAGAATTTGGACGACAGTGACTGGACCAACAGCATGTATACCTCCCCTGTTTTGGGACTAGAGAACACCAGCTTCTTCACAGATGGCATGACCAATCTTAGCTCAGCCTTACTGAAGGAAGATGACCCAGGAGAGGCAGGTGAGTGAAACAGACACACCCATGCTCATTCTGCAGTGTTAGTTTATAGCGCACCCGTTGACAGTGGAGTTTATCTTTTCAGCGGCTGCCAGTCTTTTCCCAGAGTTTCTTGCGTCCTTCCTGAAACATTCTTCCTCTCCGGTGTTTGACCTGCTGGAGGATTACCAGACACTCTGCCAGGACAAGGTAGGTTTTGTGTGCTCTTGTAACCTTTATGAGGAGTTTATGGAGCTTTCATGCTATTTGGTGCAGTTTTGGATTGGCTCTGATGTGTTTTCTTGTTTAGTTTGTTTGGTTTGGGCTGGTGTGAAAGCTGTCATTGGAACTGTGAGCAGACTTGAACTATCAGTTCTGATGGATGTTTGATTGTAGCATGAACTCAAAAGCTGAACTACTGTTAAATTAAACTTCTGGCCAAAGGAGTGTCAAACGAGTTAAACAAGGGATGAGCTGACTTGACATCCTACAGCGTTAATTTTAGCCATTCCCATTAACAGTTTAGTGAAATGTAGTGACCACACAGTGACTGTCTGCCCCTGTAATTTTAAAGACCTCTTATGGTAAATGGTCTTATACTTGTATAGCGTTTTTCTATGCATTGCAGCACTCTCAAATCACTTTCACACTATTTGCCCATTCACACACCGGTGAAATCGCCGGGAGCAAGCAACTGGGGGTTCAATGTCTTGCTCAAGGACATGTGGACTGGAGAAGCCGGGAATCAAACCGCCAAGCTTTCAGTTAGGAGACAACTGCTCTACCTCCTGAATCACAGATGACCCACCTGTTTGACCCATTTTTCTAAAGACTGAGTGTATTTTAAACATGCCAGTGACATTTCATTCATCCAGAGTTGTTTAGATTTCTCTAAGACCCATTTAAACAAGAGAACTCATGCTACTTGGTCAGGAAACAATTTTAAAGTTCAGGAAATGGCAAACATTGGGTGGTTTCCAATTTGATTAGCCTAATTAGTATAGATTAATATAATTTCCCATCATGTTGAAATATTCCTTCATGTTGAAGTATTACTCACCTTCTCACCATCATCATATTTAAGGTGGACGTGCTGCAGTCTGTGGTCCTCAGAGCGGGCCAGAACAGTAAAACGGCAGGAGTCCGCTGGCTGCTGCAGCAGGAGAGCTGTACCTGGAGGCTCATCACCTCACTCTACAGGTACATGTGCAACTCACAACTGCTTGTTTGTCAGAATGACTATGCGCTTGTGTCTGATCTTCGGTCACTTTCTGCAGGGATCGGGTCCAGTTGGCGCTGGAAGATGACATCATGACTGACATTGTTGTGAGTGACAGCTCATTCAAACTCATTTATCCATTTAACAGTCCAGTAGTTTTTGTGGTGAAGATGGTGTTTGTGCAGTTCCACCTTAGACTGGAGATCAGGAAGCTCACCAACTCTTTTAGCTGTTATACTCACACTAGTCAGACTGTGTTAACGGTGCTACAGGAAAGGTTACTCTTCCATTTTGTTTTCAGTGTCAGTGACCACAACTTGACTTGTCAGTGCGAATTACACCGCCACCGATTAATTACTGCTGGTGTCAATTCTAATACAAACACAGAGCTGAGTGCTGTAAAGGTGAAACAGTTTGTGTCTCTGCGTGTAGGTTCCCAGCAAGAGTGAGAAGGACATAGTGGAGCAGCTTTTTCAGCGGGATGCTGTTGTACGACAGAGTCAGGTAACAAACACATGCATTGCCTCAGTGCAGCTGTCGGATTATAAGGGCTCAGTTTCATAATACAAAGCGACGGTGGTGGTAGCACAAATTGGTTAAAGAAAATTTGACCAAATGCATGTTTCCATCTGCTACCATTATGTGAATAGTAGGAGTTGGTCTGTTGAGATCAACAGTTGGTGGTGCGTTGTTTTTAGCAACACACCAATTTACCCCCAGAGCCAAGGATAACATGCTTTTGTGATATTGTGAGATTTTATTTATTGCTGTTTTCACTCAGGTTTTTATGCCCAAATTGAAAATGAATATAAAAACTACAGTTCAGTACTACACTGTGCTCTGTTGCAGCTGGTTGTTGATTGGCTGGAAAGCATCGCTAAGGATCAGATTGGAGATTTTTCCGATAATATAGAATACTACGCCAAAAACGTCTGCTGGTGAGTTCCCATCTGTCTGTACTCGGATATTACATCTGCAGTGTCTTGTGTGTATTAGTCATCAGTGAGCTGCTGCTGGAATAGACTGAGCTTGAGCTGTGTGTGTGTGTGTGTGTGCGTGTGTGTGTGTGTGTGTGTGAGGGAGAGAACCCCCCCCGCACTGTAGATGGGCTTCACTGTTCCTCTGGTCACTGAGCTGGTAAGACCTTTTATCACAACAACAATCACATCCTCCTCCCAAGTGTTTTTGAATACATAGTGTGTGTGAATGTTTGTGTTCAGGACCCAGACGCACCTCTTCGGCAGCAGCGCCCCCTGGCGGACCTGGACAGAGAAGACGATGCCCGGCTGCTGAAGAACCTATTCACCCTGATCAGAGCAGGGATGACAGAGGAGGTAGAAACACACACACACACACACACACACACACACACACACACACACATATACATTATATTTAATTGTGCGTTTAATTCTGTGCATAGGCTCAGAGGCTGTGTAAACGTTGTGGTCAGGCCTGGAGAGCAGCAACTCTGGAAGGCTGGAAACTTTACCATGATCCCAACATGACCTCAGGTAACCTCTGACCCCAATGTGAACTGAGTTTTCTTGTCACAGTCTGTAAGTCACTTCTGACGATGTTCTCAAGAGCCTGTGTATGAATGAACCAAACAAGTTGTTTTTTGAGCCAGCCTTCATACTGACCTTACTGTTCTCTCTGCAGGAAGCATTAGGTTGCAGCCTGTTGAAGGAAACCCTCAGAGAGGAATCTGGAAGGCCTGTTGCTGGAGGATGGCTGAGGAGGTACAAAACACACAGAGGAAAACTA